TCAACATCTTTTAATTTATTGTTTGGCTGTAGGGAGTGTGGTGTGCAAAAAAGAAGAAACAAAGTGGTACTTTTGAGGTGGGACGAAGGAACTGTGGGGAGTAGATGGAGGGGGGTAAGGGACGACAGGGAGTTAGAGATAATAATGTGACAAAGTGGTACCTTTTCAGCTGCATGACAAACTGTAGACAAGTAGGTTGGAGGGGGAAAGAAAGACAGGGAGTTAGAGATATGTGACAAGTGGTACCTTTGAGCTGCATGAGGAACTGTGGACAGTAGGTGGAGGGGGAAAGGAAGACAGGGGGTTAGAGAGATGTGACAAGTGGTACCTTTGAGCTGCATGAGCATGAGGAACTGTGGACAGTAGGTAGAGGGGGAAAGGAAGACAGGTGGTTAGAGATATGTGACAAGTGGTACCTTTCAGCTGCATGAGGAACTGTGGACAGTAGGTGGAGGGGGAAAGGAAGACAGGGGGTTAGAGATATGTGACAAGTGGTATCTTTCAGCTGCATGAGGTACTGTGAACAGTAGGTGGAGGGGGTAAGGAAGACAGGTGGTTAGAGATATGTGACAAGATGTACCTTTCAGCAGCATGAGCATGAGGAACTGTGGACAGTAGGTAGAGGGGGAAAGGAAGACAGGGGGTTAGAGATATGTGACAAGTGGTACCTTTCAGCTGCATGAGGAACTGTGGACAGTAGGTGGAGGGGGAAAGGAAGACAGGGGGGTTAGAGAGATGTGACAAGAGGTACCTTTCAGCTGCATGAGGAACTGTGGACAGTAGGTGGAGGGGGAAAGGAAGACAGGGGGTTAGAGATATGTGACAAGAGGTACCTTTGAGCTGCATGAGCATGAGGAACTGTGGACAGTAGGTAGAGGGGGAAAGGAAGACAGGGGGTTAGAGATATGTGACAAGAGGTACCTTTCAGCTGCATGAGGAACTGTGGACAGTAGGTGGAGAGGGAAAGGAAGACAGGGGGTTAGAGATATGTGACAAGAGGTACCTTTCAGCTGCATGAGCATGAGGAACTGTGGACAGTAGGTAGAGGGGGAAAGGAAGACAGGGGGTTAGAGATATGTGACAAGTGGTACCTTTCAGCTGCATGAGGAACTGTGGACAGTACGTGGAGTGGGGAAGGAAGACAGGGAGTTAGAGAGATGTGACAAGTGGTACCTTTCAGCTGCATGAGGAACTGTGGACAGTAGGTGGAGGGGGAAAGAAAGACAGGGAGTTAGAGATATGTGACAAGTGGTACCTTTCAGCTGCATGAGGAACCGTGCGTGGGGGGGAAGAGAGGAGGAGGAGAGGTGTGTGACTCCTACCTTTGAGCTGTATGAGGAACTGTGGGAGCAGGTGTTCGATTGTGTTGTCCTTGCCCAGGATGGGGGAGAGGCCCATGATAACCGAGGCCAGCGCTGACTTGACGTGCTGGTTGGCGTCTGTCACCAGCTCCTTCACGCAGGGCAGTATGCTGGTCATGATGATCTGTTCCCGCACCTCCGGGGACAAGGCCAGGCAGAAATCTGTCACACGAGGAAGAGAAGATCATTTTTTTCAGCTTTAGTAAGTGTTTTACGGCACTTGCAACACAATAAGGTCATATAAGAGCCGAAGTCTAGAGGCGTTTCAAGAGAGTAACAAACACAAAAAAACTAAGGAGCAGGGGTAAGGACGATAGATGTTTAATAGGAAAGAAGAAAAAAAACCCACACCAGACCACCTGCCAACCACCCACATGAAGACAAGTAAAAACAAAAAATTAAACCTACATTAACAACAAGCAAACACTCTTCCTGATTTTCCACAAATATTTTAGTTAAAGAGTTTCATGGTACCTCCAACACAATTAGATCATACAAATGACGAACATTAGAAATGTTACAAGAGAGTAACAAACACAAAAAAGGAGGAGTGACGATATATGATTGATAGGACAGAAGGAAAGAACAAGCAAACCACATTAGAGCACCCGCCAACCACCCACTCTGCACTTCAGGGGACAGGGCCAGACAAAAATCTGAAGGGGACATTTCAGACAATGGACATTTTGAATAAATAAAAGCAGGGTGTTGGATATTTTGAAGTAAAGAGAAAAGCATTTCACAGAGCAATTTCAGTTTGTTTAGTTATTTCCCTCCCAGTTTCTAATCTTTTTTTAATAAGTTACTGAAGTC